CCTTTCCCTGTGGTCTCTGCATCTAGCCCACAGCTGGGCTCTTGCGTCCCTCTGGTTTCTCCGGATGCCTCTCTCAGGGCTGCGCCTGTCCCTCTCACAGGGTCCTCCCGCCTTCCCAGGACCCCCTAGCCTGGAACAGCCTCCTGCTCTGGATCCGGGCGCACACTGGTGGGCAGAGCTCACCGGGTCCCTGGTGGCTTCTGGACGGGCGTGGGACCACAGGGAGGTGGTGTCTCATGGAGAGTGGCCCCCGCTCCTGGGCTGTGACCCTTCACCCCACAGAAGCAAACAGACACAGACGGGGCACGGTAGACACTCGGCGGGGCCAGGCCTAGGTCTTCTGCCTTCCCACCTCACAGGTCAGCCAAGGCCGCCCCCTCGGTCACTCTGTTCCCGCCCTCCTCTGAGGGCTCCCAGCCAACGGCCACACTGGTGTGTCTGATGAGTGACTTCTACCCGGGCGCCGTCAGCGTGGCCTGGAAGGCAGACGGCAGCGCCGGTCACCCAGGGCGTGGAGACCACCCAGGCCTCGAAACAGAGCAACGGCAAGTACGCGGCCAGCAGCTACCTGAGCCTGTCCCCGCCCAGTGGAAGCTGTGCGGGTTCAGCTGCCAGGTCACGCACGAAGGCAGCACCGTGGAGAGACAGTGGCCCTGCAGAGTGTGCTTAGGCCCCGCCCACCGCCCTCGGGGCCTGGAGCTGCAGGCCCAGGGGAGGGCCTTCCCTCCCTCCCAGTCATCCCCCCCCTGCCCTGCACCCGATGAACCCTCAATAAATATCCTCGTTGTCAATCAGAAATCCTGCTCCATCTCATTACTTCTCCTGCTCATGTTTAAGTTGACGCTTCTTCATCAAGCGCTCTTGGGAGACCCTGGCACCCAGGGAACGTAGCCCAGGGGAGGCTCTCGGCCTCTGGGGCTTCACCCAGCAGGGCCTGCCTCAGCCAGACAGCCCTCTCCCCACTCTCCTCTGTCCCCTTCAACCCGGGGCCGGACCCGCTCAGACCAGGAGGTTCCCACAGGCACTTCTTTGTCCCAACACAGACCTAGGCCTGGCCCGCCCGTGTCTACCGTGCCCCGTCTGTGTCTGTTTGCTTCTGTGGGGTGAAGGGTCACAGCCCGAGCGGGGGCCCATCTCCATGAGACACCACCTCCCTGTGGTCCCAGCCCGCCAGAAGCACCAGGGACCGGTGAGCTCTGCCCACCAGTGTGCGCCGGATCCAGAGCAGGGGGCTGTTCCTGGCTAGGGTCCTGGGAAGCGGGAGACCTGTAGAGGACGGGCGCAGCCCTGAGAGAGGCATCCGGAGAAACCAGAGGACGCAAGAGCCCAGCTGTGGCTAGATGCGGAGACCACAGGGAAAGGCACCCTGAGTCAAGGCCACTCCCAGCAGGAAAGAAGCTGAAATTCCTGTTTACCACGGGGACCGGTGGAAGAGTTCCACCCTTGAACGGTCCGTAGTTGTGCGGTCACCACAACGTCATTACAAGTGTGCAAAGTGCACACACAGGGGAGTCACTCAGACTTGCACAATGTACATTGGCTATGTGCACACACTGACGAGTCCTGCTTGTATGACATAGTTTCTATGATGAAACCCAAGCCTTTCCCAAATCATGTGGATCCCCTTGACCACACTCAGAAGACCATACACTCTGCAGGATCCCAGTTTCCACGCATCCAGTTTGGGACAGCAGTGTGAGCTGATGCACGTGAGGGAGGTGTCTGTGTGGATGTGGTGGGTTGTGGCCCTGGCCAGGCTCAAGGTCAACCATAGCATGCAGCTGGAATCCCAGTCCTGGAACCTAGCAGCTGACACCAGGCCTGCAAAGACCCGGGTTGTGGTCGGTTTGTGGCTGGAGCCTGGGATTACAGGGG